ATTGATACTTCAATATGAATTAATATATATATATATCCATAAAATATTTAAAATCTAATTGAAAACCCAATATTTTTGCCCAATATTTGTGTGCTGTACATTTATATAAATACAGTGTATATATATATGTATATACACACACACACACACACACACATATATAATTTATATATAGCCTTATTAGACTATTGCGTTGCTATTCCAATTAATTGGTGTCAATATGATTAATGTTAATGCCAATTAATAGTCAGTCAAGTCTCCTGTGTATTTCAAATGTGGAGAGATATTTGCATCATACGCAGAGTTGTTGCCTGTTTAGGGTTTTTCAAATCAGTCACTTATAAGCTGCCATTTCAGTCGGGATGCTGCCTTAAAAGGCAGCCGTCTATGTAGGCAGCTCACTAGCTTTTGGAAAAGAACCTGTTTCTTTTGTTTAAAAGGAATAGATAAAGTACCTTCTTCTCTCTCTTTTTTGCTTATTGCCAGTGTCACCTGGTTTCGCAAACCAGCAAAAGAGAAATTGCAGTGGTAGAGCTGCCCCATGGGTGACTTGAAATGAAATGCGAGTCGATCCCCCTCTTTTGCCAGAAGCTCTATGGCTTGTCCACCACTCAAAGACGAGCACTCTGGGTGATTCCTAAGAGAAAGTCTTCTAGCAATCTGTCATTGAAAAGAAAGATAAACCATTTATATTATAAACATCCTGCTGCTTTCCTTGTATTTGAAACTGACGTGATATCCTGATACCTTATCTAAAGTGTCCCCGGCTGCTGCATCCAATGTTTGCCCCAGAAGAAGAAATTAATCTATTCCTTTGGCCAATGCAAGAAGAGAATGACCCCCGGAGACAAGGAGCACAAGAAAAGGGAAGTCTACGGGGTGTAGCATTCTTACAGTGAGGGCATGTGCCTCCATATGGTGTATAGGGATGAACGGCTTTTCATGAAGTCTCACAAACTTCAGACTGAAATCCAAGCCGATCAGAGATTCCCCCAGAAACACTCCAGTCTCATCGCAGCTCGTCTCGATCCCCAAAACTAACCTAGGGCGCACTGTACTGAAGACTCTTCCTGACGTGCAGCGCTTCATCCAGCACCGAGCAGCTCCATTCAAAGCGCATGGGAACACTGACGGTTCACTGTCGTTAACACTGGTTGATTTAACTCGACAGTAATCTGAAAGGTTACATACGCTTCAACAATTGACTCGAAAACACCGCTAAACTTGTCTTTCCTTGTAAAACTTCATTTATGACCCCGTCCGATCAAGGCGTTACATATAAATAAGCTCTACTCACAACAAACGAAGTTGGGTTCCGATAGACTTCCTTTAAGATGAAAATGATAAATAGTAGAGAAAAACAGATGCCTAGGCCAATTTGATAAATAAATAAGTACGCTAATAATAATATCATAGCTAAATGACTAATACGTCCAAAATAAAAAACAATACGGGAACCATTATCTCTTAGGCCTGTTTCCATCGGGATAATAATACAGGAGGGATGAAGTCTAACATGGGCGAGATGTTGTACACTAAATAAGATGAATTCTTCACACTTGGCTGCTGTAAAGTAGGTTCTATGACTATGTCCAACTATTATTTGATATTTGATACTTAAAGTCCCTTCTTGACTCTTAATAAGGTAAAGGCCTATTAGCTCCACGTGCATTTCTGAATTCAAATTCATTCATTCTGTGTTTTTGTGTAGCCTAGTTGACAAATAGAAATAATAGAAATGCACACACACACACATATATCAGTGGCGTGCGGTGGTGTTTTAAAATGAGGAGGCAGTTATATACATACATACATACATATATATATATATATATATATGTCACATTTTCCTGGTTAAATAAATATCACATAAATATAATATCACATTTTTATATTTATTACAAAATAATAACCAAAGGCAGTAACAATTTGAACAATATTTTTGAAACAATTTACAATAAGATTTCATTAGTTAACATTAGTTAACTACTTTAGTTAACATTAACCAAGAATAAACAATAGCCTACTTCTACAGCTTTCGGGTCATCATCATAAAAGCTCTGTAAACACTGCCACAGACACGAAGATATGTATTTCATTTCATCACGCTGAACGCTCACTAAAAACTGATGCAGTCATCACGTTTTCAGACCATTTCAAGTTTTATTTTGACGTGACACAAAGTAGTGG